GCATTTAGAAATGCGATTTTTGGTCCTTGTGTGTATATATATAATATGTACACAAATATTTAGCATAAGCATTTTTCCAAGTTATTATCAACTCTTTGAATCTATTTATACATTATAATTCAATTTAAATTATTATTCATCTAATGAGTATTTAGTTTGTCTTTTTTCTCCCACTACTGCCAATCATGGTGCCATGAATATCTTTGTTCTTTACCTCTCTCTGGTGTCTGGCTGAGAATACATTCTGGTGATTGCATCTCTCTGGTTCTGGTTAAATAAGAATATGTTTATTCTAGAGCCAGCATCCTGCTCTCTCACTCTCTCACTCTTGCTCTCTTGCTTTCTCTCGCTCTCTGTCTCTCTCTCTCTCTCTCTCTCTCTCTTTCTCTCTCTGTCTTTCTCCCTCATATTATAACCATGGGAAGAAGTAAAGAATTGCATTCTATCAGGTATACACTATGCTTGTCTTATCTATAGCTTACTAGAAATCCAAGTCATTACAGAATGAAAACGTATCTCAGCTCTCCTAGCATGCACGCATGTGAGCCTACTCTAAAAGAGAAACTTGTCTTACTAATCACCACAAACACCATAATGCAAGAGCAACTGAATAAAGGCATGTTTGAGGCCAGAGACACTTCAGTATTTAACAAGTGTAGACTTGTAATAAGGAAAAAGGAGAGCTACTATCTTGCAAATTATTTTGAACTTTTATGTTTATGCTTATAGTCCAAGTAATTTAATTTTCAATAATGATTTAGATACCTCTTTTGTGTATATTCATTAATGGTTTAAAGACATCATATTACAGTGACACATTCAAGCCCATGTTTATAACAGTACAACTCATAATAGCTAAGTCTGGGAAGTAGCCTGTAGGCCTACCACCAGACGAATGTATAAAGAAAATGTGCTGTGTATCCCCAGTGGGGTGCTACTCAGCAGTAAAGAAGAATACATTTGAGTCATTTGCAGGAAAATGTATACACCTTGAGACTATAAAGCTAAATGGAATAAATCAGACCTAGAAGGTAAAATATCACATGGTTTCTCTTATGTGAGAAACCAAAAATATGAATAATTTTAAAAGCAAAAGGAAAGATAGATAACAGGAAACAGAAGGTAGACTAAGGTAAACATTATGGAGATGGGGAAGATACCTATGAGTCAGGGGACAAGAAGATGGCAAGAAGAGATTGGGGAGGTAAAACCGGATATATGGAGAGAGAGACACAGAGAGGCAGAGACAGAGACCGACAGAGAGAGACAGACAGCCAAAAACATGTACACACTTCAAGAAAAGAAAACATTGTATAAACATTTTAATTTATTAAGACATAAGATTAATACATGTTATGTTTGACCTTTACAATTACAAGAGGTGCTCAAAATAGCAGCCGTTAGCTTCCAGACATTTATTAGTATGGCAAACTGCTACTTGGGTAACCTTTGTCATTGGGATTGCTGCACATGCTTTCTCAATTTCTCCTAAAGGCTGGAGTGTGGTGAGTTCTCTGTGATACGTGACATCTTCTAGGGCCCTTCATATGAGGATAACACCATCTGTTAAAAAAACAATACTATTTTTCTTTTCCTGAGTAGTGTGTATACATCTTTTGGCAGAATATTTATATATATATATAAATATATATATATACATATGATACATATTTTGCCATATATATTCTTTAGTATGAGTCTAATTATGATATACTAATAAAAATGAAGAAAAACTGGCAAAATGTGGGTTGAGGTTGTTCATTCTTTTGGAAACTCAAAATAAATCATGTTGTGAGTCTATGAACCATTCTGAGGAAAACACAAAAACAAAGTCACCCTTAATACCCTTTTCAAGCCAGAAGTTCTGTAAAAACACTGAGAAAACAACATGAATTTGAATGTTGTTCAAATGATCAAAATGTTCCAAAATGATCCAAAATGGAATGATCCAAAATGTTGGATCATTCTAAGCTGTCTAGTAGCTAAACTGTAAAAATACCTAACTCTCTAATCCCAAATCCAGTAAGTTTTCAACAGTTTTGTTGGTTTTCCCTCAAATTCCTTCACATCTCTCTTTTCTTTTGCACTCCTTGGGCCCTCCTCTGCCTGCCGTTACTAGACTTCTGAATTGTTACTAATGAAGCTTCTGTATTAAATAATGATTTCTAGTTTGTAATCCAAATGTTTATTTACTTGTCTATGAATTCTGTAAATACACCACTGAATTAATATTATACACTATAAATTACACAAGACATTTTAAAAAGTTAAAGGTGAACTATCAACAGAAATAGAAATTCAAGTATCTGTTCTTGCCCCATGTGGATGGCCTCGCACGCCCTCTGGGTTATACACCCCTTAGAATAACTGGCCTGGGCTGCTGGAATAATTTGCAAAGAGGGCTCCTGGCCTCATTTTCACTCATCTTCTGTGCAATCTCATACCATCTGTCAAGGATCTTTTTAAAGTTTAAAGCCAGCCATGTTTCTCATCTTAGAATTCTCCTGTGATTCCAAATTGATAACAAGATAAGGTAGAAACCTCTTAGATCACTCCACAAATCCTTGTATTTTTTGGTCCTATTTCTTCATTGTCGACCTGTTGTCCAGTCAAGGAACTGTATTGGTTAGAGACCTCTAGAGGAACAGAATCAATAGAAAATATATGTACAATTATGGAAGGGAATTTATTAGCTTATGGGATCAGAGGCAGAAGAATCCACAATGGCCATCTGTGCACTGGAGAGCGGGAGGATCCAGTCGCTGCTCAGTCCAAGAACCCAGAAGCTGCAGAAGAGGGATCAAGGATGCAAGTCCAAGCTCAAAGGCCTGAAGGCTCACTGGAGAGGCACTGGTCTGAGTCTACTTTGGAAGGCTAAAGAAAATGGAGACCAAGGTCCAAAGACAATGGCAATGACAGACCCACAAGCTCAAGCAGACTGGAGCTCTTCAAACCCATCCCAACTTCTTCCTTTTTACCTTTTAGTCCATCCAAGCTACAACCCTGTTGGTTGGTACCACCCATAACTGAGGTTGGTCTTCTCCCTGAGTTTTCTGGCCTACATGCTAGTAATTTCTGGAAGCATCCTACAAACAGTCCCAGAAGAGTGTTGTACTAATCGGATGGGTGTTTCTTAATCCAATCAAATTGCTGTATCACATCTAATAGTCACAGGAACCACTCAGCATTCTGAAATTGAATGACGTAGTCTATGTACTTTTAATTTTTACTGCAAATATTTTTCTGATCAGAATGTTCCTCCTTGCCATCCCTACTCACATTTACCCTTTGAAATGTGCTGTCCTCTTTGATATATTCCCGGACAGCTTTTGCCAGTTCAGGGAAACCACTTCCTCCACATTAACTGTTTTATTGTAATTTACTTATTTATTACTGTCTGAGCCTACTTCTAAATTGAGTTTCTAGACAAGAGCAATCTAATGTATTCTTTTTTTTTTTTTTTTTTTTTTTGGTGTTTTTGAGACAGGGTCTTGCTATGCAGTTCAGGCTAAACTGGAGCTCACTTTGTAGCCCAGGCTGGCCTTGAACTCACAAAGTTCCTCCTGCCTCAGCCTCCTGAGTGCTGGGATTATAGGCATGTACCACCATGCCCAGCTTAATGTATTCATTTTTGTATCTGTTGAAACCTCAACAATGGCAGCACATAGCTGTACACATTTTTGGAATAAAGGAAGGAATGACTGAGACCCCACACCAAAACTACTGCAGAAGACTTTGTGTAAAAGAGTGTAAAAACACCCTTTTACAAAAAATGCACTAAAGTGTGGCAATATCATTTAACCCAGATCAAGTATTCAATATCATAGAATGAAATCTTGATTTTAAAATTGCTTCACAAAAGGCTGATGGAGATGATAAAAGAGGTCAATGAACAAAATGTTTATACCTGTTTCCCTCCTGTCCACCAATTCTTACTGCTACTCAAATGAGGATAAATTTTAAAAGTTATGTCCTTTTGACATTTGACAATTTACAGTATCAAAGATTTGTAATGCATTGATATTTAATAGTATTGGACATCATTAAGTTTATTTGTAGTCCTATTCAATTTAAACCTTTTTAACATTAGGAATTACTGTGAGGTTATTATTAAATTCTCATTTAGCTCTTGTTAATATGATGATTTTTTCTCCTTTAAATTATGATGCAATCAGTTCTATTGATTTATTGCCTAGTATTGGACCAGTATTGCATTCTTGTACCATGTTCCTTGGTTAATGGCATTATTCTTCTGATAATAACATTTTATCTCCCCTAACATTTCATCTAGGTGTTTTATGTTTATTGTCATGAGAGTAATGAGTTTCTATTATTGACATCTAATGCTTGAGCCACATAACTTTCTTTTAGAAATCACTTAAAATAAGCATTGAATTAAATTTACTTTTTGAACTTGGGTATAGAAGTTCCAGCGCTGTCATTCAAATGATTAACTTTTACCAAATACTCACTTTGTGCCAGCAACTCTTTGTTGTACATGTATTAACCCTATGAAGCAGAAATTATTAGAATCCCTATCTTGGAGCAGAGAAACTGAGACACAGAGATGTCAGTACCCTGGGTCACACAGAGGGTAAATTGTAGAGTTATAATTTAAACACAGACATCCTAGCCCAGAGGTTCCCTTCTTCACCATGGTGCATTATTTCTCCAGCATGTTACAGGGGAAAACAGAAATCTCAAGACATAATTGCTCAAAGAAAGAGTAAAATATAGTCATTGTTCATAACATGTGATTTCTAAAACAGTATAGAATCTAAAGAAGCAATAGCCTACTACTATTTATTTATATAATAATATAGATTGGAGCATCAGAGTATTTAGCTATTAAAAAACTTAAATGAAGGCCTGAGTATGTAGTTAGCAGTAGAGCACTTGTCTAACATCTGCTAGGCCCTGGATTCAATCTCCAGCAATAAAAAATAAAACAAAACACTTAAAAATGTTACCAAAGTAATAATATTTTTTTTTCTTTTCAGCAATCTTGACACAGAAGAACTATGTGGTAAGTTCCTTTAAGACCAATCAAACCTATTACCTCTTAAAATGGAAGAGAATGTTGTCTTATGCATTTCTACACACCTTAAATTAACATCATAGATTGGGAATGCTGGAGCAAAATAAAAGATAAATCAAGAAGGTCCAAAGGATTTATCTTTTTCCATGGGTTTTGCTAAAATGCATATTTGACTGCATAAAAAGTTGGGCCTCATTAATTTGCTCATGGAAGGATACTTGTGTTGTAATCAATGCATTAGTTCACAAGAACTAATTGTCCACAAGTCTATTTTTAAATTAGTGTTAATACAACTTCATTGTTCTCTTCACAATGTATTGTGTATTGTAATGTACTAATAATTTCTATTACTTCATTGAAAGGAACAGTTAGTGTTTATATTGTTTGATCAATTTTTCATGCCCATATCTTGTAAACTGAGCAACTACTTTGAAGATAACAATATGCAATATATTAACCATTGTTATTTTCCTACTGTCTTGTTTTGAAATTTTTTATCATTGTTTTTATTGTTTTTTCTCTTTAAAAGAAAAGAAAACAAGTGATTCCAATAGGGATAAATCATCTTTAAAACTGGTTTAATGGGCTCTTCATTTATTGTTTTTAGTCTATGTAATTGGGAACGCGGGTCAAAGATTAGAAGTATAGAAAAGCAAATGCATCTAAAATCTATTGCTGTTCTGAAAAATAACAGATCACTATGAGACTATTCAATATGAAATAGCATATTTCTCTGAATCCTGGAAGGTTTTAAATTTCATATTTTAAAATAAATAAGTAAAAACATGCCCTGTACAAGTTTGATTTTATTATCCTGGAGGCTTCAGACATTTTTGATGGTTCAGGGTGAGTGTTTCTGCAATTTTTAATTGAATGACAGATCCTTCCTGAATAACTTCTAGTTCCTCAAATTTTAGAGTTTGCCCAAAACATCAAAAAGACTACTTATAATATTTAAGACTAGTTATCTTCTAGTTCAACAAAAAGGTACAATAACACCAAGCGATGTCATGCCAGAACAGTGTTAGAATAGAAGATTTCCAGGCAATCACTGAACAAACAAATATGAGAGCCTTAATATGAGCTTTCCAATTTTCTTAAAACCCCTGTGCTCCTTTTCTTCCTCAGTGTGCACCCCAGGTTCAGGAACAAGAATTCAATTTAAAAGGCAAGGTAGGATTATGAAGAAGCCAAGTACTTTTGTATCCAAGTAGGTCATGCCTTTGATAGTTATGAAACACGAGCAAAAAATCCTGCCGTTGCTTTCATTGCAATCTGGCGGTGGCATCATTCACACATGGTATTACCATGCTAAGTGCCAGAGCAGTCCATATGGGCAGTACCACCAGCTTTCCTGATGAATCGTAGTCTCCATAAAGATGGGGTTGAGGTCCACGCTCATCCATGTGTAGGAGACCCTGTCAGGAAAGCGGAGCGAGAACACGGAGCACTGAGAAGCTGTCTTGATAAGTTCGTGAAGGTGCAAGCACCATTTGCCCTAAATATCTAGATATGTCAGGCCAAAGTAACCAATTCCTCAAATCATTCAGATAGCCATTTTATTTTTTATTTGACTTTGCCTGTGTAGGCCCAGCTGATGAGAAAATAACTGTTATAAGTGCTTTTAAGATGAAAAGCATTTAGCGGCTGTCTTATTTACTACATTGCCTATTATCACTAAGGGATATTACGTTAAATTCTATCTTCTCTTAAAAACTCTATAAAGTATGATAGTGTATTTTCATTAATTATCTATGAAAATGTTTGTCTTCTTTCTATATTAAAGGAACCTAATTGTCATCCTAACCCTGTATTTGTTGAAAAGTCATACTATGATGTTGCCCCATAGTTCTGGTTAAATAACTAGTAGCTGGAGCTTTGTTTAGATAGAATTGCTCTATGTTTTAGATTCAGTGATTGTATTCCCAATCATGTCGTAATCCTCCCCCTTTTTGTTCAAGAATATGCATTTTAATTTCCAGAGTGTAGTTTCTTTCCTCATTATTTTGTGAATATAAAGTAAATATTTAAGTTGGATTCTAATCAAAGCCAAATGCTTCAGTGCTAGCAAGGAAATGTGTAGATTCACACCCCACACAAGCTCCCCCTGTGTGTGGGAGGGACAGCGCTTGGTTGGCATAGAAAGGAGATTTCTTGTGCTTTCTCCTAGAAGCCAATTAAAAATTCCAGGTATCTAAAGCTTTCATTTTATTGCTTTTGCTTATTTTGTCAGCTCCTTCAATTCTGAACCTAGAATTCAAAATCTATTAAAATATTGATTTTTTTAAAAACAACTTTGTGATTTTTAGTTATGAAAGGAACACAATTTAATTACTATTTTTCAAAAGTTAATGATACAAAATCATGTAGGTATGTAAGCTAAAATGTCAAAGTTGTTCTCTTGCTCACCTCTCTTCCTTTATTCTGGTCTCCACTGGTAATGGCTTTGAACACACCCTTCTAGACTTTTTACACTTATATTGGCATTAATGTAAATACATTTATTTCCAACAGAGAGATCATATAATGAGTAAAGCCTCATACTCATCTGTCTCATTTTGCAAAAATGGCTGCATGGTATTCCATTTTCATTCACTTTTCCAGCCAAATCCCTTTAACAACTTTTCAGGTCACTTCATCTTTCCACTGGAACAAGTATTATTGAAGTAAATATTCTCCCATACAGTGTATATCGTCTTCATCCACTTGTATACATCGTTCTGTATGGTAAATCCCTCAAATTGTAATTTCTTACTCAAGGTTTTTCCAATGCACGCACCTGCCAGCAGTTTATAGGTGTGCCTGATTATTCGCTCACTCTTCATACATCATTCTGAAGCTCTTCCTTAATGCAGCTTTTTGCCATACCTTACAACTGTCAGCCAATATACAACTCAGTTTCACCTAGAAAATTGTATTTAAATTCTACCATTGAGGCTTTGTTTTATATTCATGTGATCTTTAGCTCTGATCTAAAAAGCTCATGAGCATAACTATTACTTCCCCAACCCTCCCTGGTTTATGACTGTTTTTATAGCTTTACTAATTTTTGCTTAACCTGTTTGCAAATCTTGGAAGCTCAGAATTTTGAGATATTTCTAGATTGATGAGGAGTAATTGCTATAAAATTCATGTAGCTGAGGTTCTTGATCTGAGAGCATAGCTACAAGAAAGTTTTGTGACAGGTAGGTATATAATAATATATTTTCTCATCGAGTTGGTTGGTTAATACCAAATATTAAACTATTTAAACAAATAGATAAAATCTGTAAATATGATTATAAAAACTGAAGGTACAGGAAACTCGCAGAATAAAACTGTCTTAGCTTTATGTTCAAGTTCCCTTTCAGTGGGTCAGTGCTAGACACCCCATCATACTGAAGATGTCCTCAGCTTCACTGCCAGCAAGACGGGGTGCTGGGAAATCAGAAGACTTTAGGTCTTCTTCCAGTCCCTGAGCACCAAGGCTACCTCGCACACACCACTAGGTGACTGAATGTGATGCATTGAATGACACTGAACTGTACCCTTTAAAATCACCATATTCTTAATTTCTGATACCTTAATTCAGATCATGGGGGTCCTAACTCTCTCTCTCTCTCTCTCTCTCTCTCTCTCTCTCTCTCTCTCTCTGACTTACGCACACACACGTTCATTATTATTATTATTATTTTTTTTTTGCTGTTTAGTCTTTTGCTTGAGCAGTCCTAACAAAGTATATGCTGTGAGACTCACTTAAATTTAGGATGCTTTGTAAAACCAGTTCCCTATATGACCTTTGTGGCAGCTGTGGGTCCTTTGGTTCTAACGTGGGATTCTTAGCCTGCACATGAAAAATGCAACAACGTGGAGGATTGAGGTATAGGAAAAAAAACACACAAAAAAAAACCACAAAAGCCTGTCATTCAGTAAAGCAACACCACTAATTAAGCACAACAGGGAAAGGAAAAACTAATTTTTTAGCATTTTTTAAAGAAGATGTTGCATTGAATGTGAATGAAGTTATTGCTTTCTGATTGATACTTTGTTTAACATGTTTATAAATCACATTTTACTCTTTTATTACACCCAATGTACAGAATTTTTTTACTTTGGATTTTTATTTTTGGTGGTATTAGGGACTGAGCCCAGGGCATTTACACTGAGCTACATCCCCAGACCTTCACACTTTTTATTTTGAAACAGGTTCTGCTAAGTGACTATCTTAGTTAACTTTCCTTGTTACTGAGACAAAACACCTGACACCCAAAGTTAAAGAGGAAAAAGTTCATTTGGCTCAAAGTTTGTTGAGGTTTCAGTCCATAGTTGGCTGACTTCCAGGCAGGTTAGCATGGCAAAGGGGTATCACAGCAGATAAACCATCCATGTCAAATCAAGACAGGCTGATGGTAACAAGCAGCAAGCAAACAAGAGAAGATCCTCTTTCTGTGCCTTATATTCCATCCAGGTTACCAGCCCTTAAGGGAGGTAGCACTGACACCCAGGGTGAGGCACCCTTAATCCTACCTAGAACTATGCCAACAAATCAGTGGACTAATTTAATGATCAGACACTCTTGATCCCACCATCACACACTTAACCTCAGCATCACACACAGTAGATCTCAACCACTTCTGAAACACCCACCTATGACCTCATGAGGCTTTGGGGGGAAATTTAGATGTAAGCCTTAGCGTTCTACTATTGCCCCCCCAAAGATGCACACACATCCCTTTATGCAAAAGGCATTTAGTCCATCTCTAAAAGTTGCCCAATTCCTAATAGTTTCAGCATTGCTGAAAAGTTTAAGTCTAAAGTCTTCTCTGAGATTTAAAACAAACTCTCCTCTGAGAGACCCTGTATAAATGAAGAAAACACCTTCAACAGACAATGGCACAAGATAAGCATTACCATTCCAAATGGTACAAATAGGGGGACACAAAGGGATTGGACCCAAACAAGTCCAAAATCCAGCAGGCCAAATATTAGGTCCCATAGTTCCAAGTCCAGCATTCCTGGCATCCTGTGGCAAGTTATGAAACCCAAAGGGCTTGGGTGGCTCCACCCCTACAGCTGTGGCTGTAGTTTCCAGGACCTCTCTCATGGACTGTCTTTGCTCCCTCCTTGCAGTTTTCCTCAGCCCATCCGCTTTCCTGGCTTTTACAAACTTCTGGGGCCTCCACTACATCTTTGGCTTCCCACTCACAGATTCACACATTGCCCTCTCAGGGGCATAGTGCCCAGCCTCCCAGGCATTTTTCTGAAATCTGAGTGGAAGCTTTCTGATCACTCTTACATTCAGCATTCACCTAAAAGCAGCACCACCTAAATGACACCAAGGTCTACTTACATTTAAAAATCTTATATAATACTCTTTGAGTCTGTGTATATATTAAAATAAAAATGTACTGACATCCCTTGTTTTGCACTTTACATTTTTTGCTCGATTCAACTCAAAATATACTCTATTCTGATTTATTATTTTCCCAGCTGATGAATATTCTACAGCCACATTAACAGCATGCAGGTTCATGAAGGATGTTCTCCACAGGGACTTCATTTATTACAAATAATTGCACAGACAAGGTCAGGCCTTTTGTCAACCCTATCAGAAAGGCAGCATCAGAACCAAGAATTACAATGTTATTCTGAAGCAAGAATTTAAGGAATGAGTAATTATTTAACATTCAATTAATCCTTTCCTTAAAAATCTTTATGAGACCCACCACACTATTTTCAAGGATTGAATAACCAAGAGTGTGTTTTCTTTGTTGTCAAAAATGTGTCACTTGTTTTTAATCTCTGTGTGCACTGACTGTATTTTGACAGCCGTAATCCAGAATGTACTTATTGCTCGCCTGTGTTTTTGTTGTTCTCAGAGGAGTCTTCAGAGTGCCTAGAAAATCAATCAGTGGCAATTTCCACCTGTTATCACCATCAATGGCAGCAAATAATTCCATCTGGAGTATTCAGTAGATTTATCAAGGCAGTTTTCATCAATCACGCCCCAAGGGAGTTTGGTGATCTCAGCTGGCTTACATGTATTTTTTATCATTTCAATTTAAACTTATAAATACTAATATCACATTGGAGAGAATAATAAGCTGCAATTCATCCAAAGAAGAGTTCACAACAATAAAGGCTATTGGTTTTCTAATATCTGAAAGTTCTAGGTTTTTTTCATACATGAATTTCTGTTACGTTTAGCTCTTTCTCATTTTAGAAATGTATAGTTTCCTCTCAGTAAATATTAGGTTTTACATTTCTCTCTGCTGTATTTCAGCTTATAATTTGGGGATCAATCTAGTGTTCACTGCTCTTCATTTTAATCGTAACATCCAATAGGCTATCTGTTCCTTTTCACTGAAAAATGAGATAAATATGGCTTTTGCTCTTTGAAAAACATTTTTGAAATTCCTGAAAGAGAACCACACTAGGAGTAGTCCAGTGGCCAGTCCTGCAGCAAGTGACCTTGTGGTTTGTGACATCACTTATTCTTAACCTGAAGACAGCTTACCTTCCTTAAAAATTTCTCAGAAGAAGCCCCTAAATGTAATTTAACTTTTTTGTAAAACTACTACCTTAGTGAAATCTATGATAATATACTGTCAAGAATGATTTTTCATTTAAACAGTTTTATCAGTCATTCCAGATTCATTTTTCCCTATTTTTGTAGGAAAGAACTGGGTTTCACAAATGAGGGTTACTGTCTAGGGTTTCTTTTCCTTTTTTAAATGAAATTATTACATGGGTGCTTTAGTATCACTTGAAAACCTTCCAGTTTTCATTCATAGCTGACATTTTATTTAATTTACTCATTTATTCAATAAATTATCAGCTGATTTTTGGTCTTATGATTACCTACATCCAGACAGGAATTTATTTCAGTGTTTTCACTTTTCAGAATATTTTTCCCAGCACTTGGGCGAGTATGAGAATGTCCTGGCAGCCCTGGAAGACCTGAACCTCTCCATCCTGAAGGCCATGGGCAAAACAAAGAAAGTAAGGAAATGGTGATGTTTGCTTTCTATAAAAATCTCTTCTTTGAAAAATATATTGTTGAAAATCACACCTATTTCTGAACACATCATGAAAATATTGATTCCTTTTTATATGTGTGTAATTATATACGTTTTACAATTTACTTTTCTTGATCTTAAAGGAGCTATTTTATTCATCCATAGTATGACAGACATCATGTGCCAGAGAATGTACTTTGCGCTGTTGATACAAAGATACAAAAATCCGGTCAGGCAGCTCTGAGTCTGATGAGGACACAAGTGTGTAAATAAATAATCACATTACAGTGTGACAGAAAGAAGCAGAAGACAGGACACCGAAGTCACACTGAAGGATTTAAAGGGAAAGCTAAATCATTTTATAAAGATGTGAAGAATCGTGCGGCTCTCTAGTTTCATAGTCAGAGCCAGGCAGAAGGGAAGTAGCAAGGGGGAACTAGGAGCAGCAGGAGCAGAGGCTGAGCCAGGAGGGCCGCAAGCACTCACGGAACTGAGGATGAGAAAGGGGCTCATGGACAGAGCCCCAAAGGACGTCATGATGTGAGACGGAAGTGGAGCAGAGAGGAGCCGCATCTTTCACAAGGTTTGTTGTAAGCCAGGCTGCATATTTCGGCCTGTATCCTAAATGCAAATAAGCCAGGAAATACAATCTTTTTTAAAAGATTGTGCAATAAATAGTTTGGAGTTGGGGTGAGGATATAAGGGGAAGGTTATTTTCTTTCTCCAATACCAGAGAGAGAAAGAGCATGGGGCGGGGTGGAGGGAGAGAAAGAGAGACAGAGAGACAGAGAGAAAGGGATCTTGAGGATTAAACAAGAGAGTGGAAATAAATATGCAGTAGAATTTTGGAGAATAAAGTTTAGAAAGGCTCCCAAAATGTAGAGCAAAACAGAAGATCAAAGCATCAGCCTAGAAACCCTATACCCAAGTAACAAATTGCACAAAGTGAGAATGAAGAAAACAGAAAAAAAAAAGTGGAATCAGAACAGATTTAGCTCTGGATTTCTTCAGGTGAATTTGGAAACTGCATAGTAACCTTGTCCCTTGGGAATTTCTCTCTGGAATTGAGCATTTTAAAGTGTCTATTTCCCATGGCTGGCCTCTTCTCATTCTGTAGGTGTCATCTTAAACACCATAGCCTCAGAAAATCTTCACTGATTACATACCTAAAGTCATCTCCATTGGAGTATGTCATTTGTTCCTTGCTAAGAATTATCAGCATAAGGAAATATATGTTTTTCTTTATTTTTTTCTGTAGGGAGCTAGAAGAGCCAGTGTGGTTGTTTTCTTATACTTACCCTGAGCCTAGCATAAGACCTGACAATTAAAATGCACTCAAAAAATTGACTGATGCATTAACTGAATGTATTAATTAAATGAACATTCATACAGCTCCAAAAGCTAAATACTTTTGCTCCTTAAAGAAAATTAGCTCCTAAGTTTATTTAAAATTTTTTCAGATTTCTTTTAATAGGCAGAAAAGACAAGGACATAATCTTTCTTGTTTTCTTATAAAAGTGCAATAATGTATGGTCTTTGTCCTTATAATAATACAATGAGGCTTTAGAGAGTTTAGACTGAGATCAACCTGCTATCTTGGTCTCCTTCAGTTACAAAACCTTTGTCTTGGCGCTGACCCGTAAAAATGAATTTGACTCATATGATCATGCTGCTTAATCAAAGAAAACATGCATCTTTGAACTTGTGAAAAATGGGAAAAAGAAAGAAAAGAACTGACAGAAAATAAAATTAGAAACAGTCCCTCAGTGTGACAACTTAAAAATGAGTGAAATGCAGGGTTTTTGACATTTTTCAAGCCACTGGTGAACTGGTATCTTCTCCACACTGTCTGTCACAGTGAAGCCCTCTGAGTGAGACAGCCAGCATTTCTGTTCCAGAGTCTTGGTATATTTTTACTCAGATGAAAAGTTCCATCTCAGTAGGAAAGGCTGACTGTTGCAGGCTTTTATGAAAAATGAAATACAAGCCATTTGTGGTCTATCTTGACTGGCACTACATCTGTTTGCTGTGTCAGAGTGTAGATAAAATGGGTTCTAACTGCTTAACCGAAACCCCGGGAGGTGACTCAGGCCAAATATAGCATGTCATCATTATTTCACTTCTCCTCCTTCTTAATCCCAGCCTTTCAACAGATCCTCATGGGCTACACTGATTATTTTACTTGCTTATTTTTCTGAAACGAAACTTCATATGTCAGATTCCAAATGGTCATTGGAAAGCACTGAAGGTAACTAGAATCAGAACCCTCACACATAGACACCCACACACCCACACATGCACACACATGTATACACACACACACAGCTAGGTTTGCCAGTTTTTCTTCTTTCTATAGAGTGAGTGATAAGTTAACTCACATTATCAATATGTGATATCATTGGAACTCAAAGCAAATTTGGAATTCCAGTTCCAAAGCTAAGATTTGTTGTGTGATATTATAACAGGGACTTAGAAGCTAGCCCTGCAGATACCTAAGGAGTAAGTAAACCTTGGCATCGCTCTTTCATTTTATATCTGTCTCCTTGATTACCTTAGTTGTAGGTCAGATCACTGCTCAGTAAGCACATTGGCACGTTCATGCCTTAAGGAGCGTCTGTCTAAAAACTGATAACACAAGGGTTATCAGCCCTAACTTTACCTCACCTATCTCATCCTCTTTCAACACTGAGGACACCAAGATACGATATTTTCAAGATCTGCAGGAATATTCAGTTGTCAGCTTTTAAATATCCTGTCCCAGATCTCCTAGATGTCTCCACTCATTGTCCTAAATCTGCAGTCACCATGGTTTCCTGGAAAAGCAGCTTCACAGAACAGATCACCTCATGACAAGATTTCCCCCCAAGTGAAAGCACTTACCTCATGATGGAACTGAGGCTGCCTCCATGAGCAGGAGCAGTCATCTCATGGGAAACAATTGCTATAAGACTTCTGAGGAGCTACCTCTCAGAGCCAGTCCTAGATAAAGATCAACATGAGCACATTTTGACCAGGATTACCTACTCTGCCAGCTAAACAAAAACAAAAACAAAATCAAAAAAACCCAACCCTTGTCTTTACCCCAACCCTTGCCTTGTTCTTCTTTTCTATAACCTTAAAGTTCTTGTCAACCCCTCAAACACAGATCTTGATCTCCTTTATCTGTCCTTCCTGGTGTGACCATACTGATGAAAGCTCCCCCACCACTGTCCCTCTCTTTGACTGATACTTGGGGATGGGTGACCATACCTGAACTTCTGGGATTTCCAGAGCTAGGACTTTCTCCCTAGAACTCCACAATGCTCTATAAACACAAATGGTACTCCATGTTTATTGGTAAGACTTAAAGGGAGAGTATTTTAAACTAAAGTGAACAATGGTGTTCTTAATTATTTAGGATTTTTTGGTCACCTTATCAGTGTAGCCATGGAAAATTTCCAAAATATAAGTGTGTGTGTGTGCATGCCCAGAGCTTTCTTCTAAAAGTTATTTTTCTAACAGGCACGTCTTACACTACATCTTCAGTGTTACGGAGGAAAAGATAAATGACTTTGAGCACAGCCGATCCTCTGTCCCTCTTCATTCTTGCATCCATGTTGCTTCTCTCTCTGGTATCTCTAGACTCCTTCATCTCAACTTCACCATCTCTCCTCTGTACCTAGTTTGTTGTTTATAGCACTTAGGACTCCCTGGGTTTCCTATTCCTTTCACATGTAAAGATTATAGTCTTTTTCTTTATGTCTTACAATAAAAAAGAATTACTAATAGGTCTTCACAGTTCTATATGTGTGAAACATTATTAATTACTACATTCTATGCAGGATTTATCATGAAAAAAACCTCTTTCAGGCAGTGTATCAGAGCTGAAATGATATTGTATGTGGTAGTGAAAAATAATCTCGTAGATTACATAAAATAAGCATATTCACTCTTTATTATAGTTTCATTGTAATCCTGTAAGTGTGGGTTAAAAGTAAAATGAAAAATTATTTTTGATATTCTGATATTCTGAAATTATTCTGATAGAATAACTATCAGAAAACATTTTCCAAAAAGCTTGGCATCTCCTTTGTTCTCTGAAGTGATCCCTCTTTTATTTGAGTGTTTAGGGAAGTAGAGACTAGGAACATGGGAAATAGTAGAGAAGCATCTTTAGGTCTCATCTGTTGGCCTGGTAGGAGCGAGGAAGCCTGAAAGTCTGTCTTGCTGTGTTGGCCAGACTTCTTTGTCCAGCACCTGGTAAAGGGGAGCCCCAGTAGTTGCAAAGGTCACTCTGTTAAAGCCTGAGGGACATGATCCTGTCAGAGGAGAGCCATGCTTTGCTCAAGGACCCTGCAGTGCCTGCTGACTCAGAGAGTGAGAACATGACGGGACAAGAAACCCACTCCCTCCATAGCAGGGAAGGGCAGAATACAGATGAGCCAGCTAGCCCTTCCAGCACACGCAAGCAAGATAGCGGGGTAATCCAAAGGCAAGAAGAGGCCTGGCTAGGAAGGAGGTCCAGGAGGACAGGGACCAGAGGCTCATATCAAAGTCTGGGCAGGCTCAGGACTTGGGCTGGCACTGGCCCAGCAGTCATATTGTTGATTCTTTGTAGCCGTTGCTGCAGCCCCACAGTGCGCCTGGCAGCCCACTGATTTCCCTGAGCCAAGTCCCCACACAAGGCCTAACGTCTGCTCTTTCCTGCCAGCTTAGGGCTTGAGTAGCTGTGAGGACAAAAGGGATGAGGAGTATCAGTGACTGCAAACTAGCTTTCATATAGTGCCTTGGATGTCTCAATGAGCTTTAATGTACATTACTTTATTTACTCTTTATAACATCTTAGTGGAGAATGTCTGACAATTGGTAATATTCCCATTTCGAAAGTAAAGAAACTAAGTCATAAAATGTTTAGTTGATTTATTGGTATTTTAAAGAGAGATATCTAAAGCAAGTAATTCTCATTTTGAAATGTTTAACTTAAAATTTTTTGTGGTTTCATAT